AACACAGTTCTCTTCCTCGAAGTCGATAGTGAGGTTGTCGTGCATGGCGTCACGCAAAATGAGCACGAAGCTCTCCTCTCCTTCCTGGATGGTGTGCGTGTGATTTCACAAGAGCCAAATTCGTCTACCAGATGCGAAACGACGAGTTTCGGGCAGAACATCTCGGTGGATCCAAATCGGTATCTCTTAACCGGCTGATTGACCGATGGAGGAATAACCGAAGGTTTCAAAGTTCTGGAGAGGTCGCCGTCTAGCAGTCCGCCAAAGATTTTGAATTCCTTCATCCTGAACCAGTTCAAGTGGGCAAAAAAAGGGTTCCAATATTCAAAGCTAGCCACGAAATTTTTTGCAAACGTTTAAAAAACGTTTTAACACAGATGCAAAACTAGCACATGCATCAAGGAATCGAACCCTGGTGCTGCTCCTCCGAGCCCGATCGGCTTACCGGCTGCGCCACCGAGGCACGAACTCTAGGGGTCGAATGGTTTAAAAAATGGGCCTCAGCGGTGAAACCACCCCCATAACTCTTCTCTCCGAATCGTTTAGCAGATATGGAAGACAGATTCGAGATCAGCGTTCCATGACGCATACGTGGGTATACATCTCATCTCGAATGGCCATGGCGACTCGAGGGACTTCCCTTGTCAGAAGAACGCCAGGATGGACCATCAAAGTATCAAAGTAAGTATCTCTACAATGAGCGAACGATTTTCTCCAAATTCTTTTATCAACAATGCACTATCACACCAGGGCACAAATATATAAGTACAATTGGAAAGAAAAAATCTTGTAGATTTTTTTATATTTTTTTTCTATTGTAAAATCATCGCGACCAAAAGTATAGTGACTCTTCGGTGTTTGAACTTCCTGAACGATATGCTTAATGAAACCCATAATAACAATAATGATTAGAAAGTAGTAACATTCTTATTCTTCTTTTGATAAATTGAATCATGCGCTTCGGCATGCCTTGGGCAATCCATGAAATCGTTTCCCGCGATATGCTCTCAAGCCTCCTTGACGGCCTTTTTCAGCTATTTTTCCTTCTCACACCGTCTGCAGTTGGCGTAAACGTCCCGTACAAGTGTACCCCAGCGGTTCTCTATCGAATTCAAGTCAGGTAATTTGCGTTTCTGTTTTGAAACCCTTCCAGTGTTGAGGCACTTACATGAACGGCGGCGTTGTCGTGTTGGAATTTGAACTTAAACGGTGGAAATCGCCGCATATATGGTACAGAATTGTTTTGCGGGATGCTCCTGTAGCCACTGGAGTTCCAGCGTTGCGTGACGAAACCAATTCACTCTCACGAAGTGCTGTGAAGGCAGCTCAAACATGACGTGACAGTACCGTTGCCGAAATCGCCACTACTTCTCGATCGAGAAGAATTGGCCATCATGCGCTCAAATTATGTCCCCACATCGTTCAAAGGCAGTTTTTGACTACGTCATGTTTGACGAGTGGCGCATGGAGGACACGAGTCTTTTTCGTAAAGGAACACGTAGGCTGGACTCATCAATGGGATGAGTTACTTTGCACTGACGGATTCCGCATGTAATAGTGCTCCAGGCGAATTTTCCCGATAAAAAGAAGTCCAATTTGGACGGACCCGATGACCTGGTAAGCTAATGGCGCGATTTGAGGAAGGAGCCACACTAGCTTTAAAGGCGCGGATTCGGTGACAGTAATGTCGCGGTTTGAGCTGCTTTCACAGCACTTCGTAAGAGTGAACTGGTTCTGTCACACAACTCCTGAACTCCGGTGGCTACAGGAGCACCCTAAAAACAATTCGGTACCATGCAGTTATTTCCATTCTACAAGTTCAAACTCAACAAGACAATGACGCCGTTCATGTAGGTGCCTCAACACTGGAGGGGTTCCAAAACAGAAACACAAATTACCTGATCCGATAGAGAACCTCTGAGGTACACTCACACGGGACGTTCACGCCAACTGCAGACAGTCTGAAAACGAAAAACGACTGAAAAAAGCCGTCAAGGAGGGCTTAGGAGACGCAGATATCGTCGGAAACGATTTCAATGTTTGCCCAAAGCATGCCGAAGCGGATGATTCAACTTATCGAAAGTAGGATGAAATGTACTACTTTCTAACTATTATTGTTATTATTGATTTCATTTAATATACCGTTTGGAGAGTTTGAACGCCGAAGTGTCCCTATACTCCTGGGACGCCATTATTTTAGAAAAAAAAATTATAAAAATCTACATGATTTTTCTTCCCAATTTCACTTGTATATTTGTGCCCTGGTGTAATAGTGCATTGTTGATAAAAAATTTGGGGAGGAATCATGTTTGTAACAGAGATGCTGAAGAAAAATAGGGTGTCCATACATTTTGGGAAACGCTGTATTTCTCTGATAGGCTGGTGTCAGAGTCCGCGATCCGCCGCAGGTTTCGCTGATTTCCGCGTGCGCTCGCGATTTGCGCGCGAATCACGCGACGTTTCACAAATCTCAAGTGCCCCATCAATACTGCAAGGTGTTCTCAAATCCCGCCGTCACTTCTACTTGATGGTTATGGTTTAATGAAGACTGCTCATGATTCCACCCGTTTCATATCCAGTCTTTCAACTGTTCAAATGGGGCACCTGCAATTTTTGTGATTGGTTTGGTTTCGTTCCTGAAAAAAAATAGGAACGATTCAAGAGCATTCCAATGAACTAATAGACATTGAACATAAAACAAGTAGAACCACAAACATTCGTCTTTCAATCTTTACCGTCAAGCAAAATTCGCAACAGGATTAAACAACACCTCGCAGTACTCATCGGGCACTTCCAACTCCTGTGATCCATCGCAGGTTTCGCGAAAATCGCGCAAATCGCGAAAATTGCGCAAATCGCGAAAACCGGCGAAACCTGCGGCGGTTCGCGGACTCTGACACCAGCCATAAAGTTTCAGTTTCGTTTTCATGCTGCTGCCGTCCGAATATGGGCTAATATCTTGAACAAGTTAGTTATAATGGCTCCATGGTCATAAGCATTGTATAAATAAAAGATTCCCCATTTCTACTGCATTCATACCATACTGAAGAGTGGTAAAGAAAATGGAAATTTCGAAGGATGACACAAAGAATTGACGCGGTCTTTTTTCAGAAGGGCACAGCAAATTAAACTGCAGCCTTAATCAGAATCAAACAACACTATTGTAAGTTTCCATACACGCACACACCGGAAACGACAGTTACTGTGCAGATCTACGAAAGTTCCAGCCTAGTCAAAAAAAACTGAAAAGTTAGGGGTGGCATAAGCAATTGACGGGCAGTGTGTTTAAAAATATCGATTTAATCATTGCTCAATATTGAAGGGAAGTAACACGCAACTCAATTGTCAGCCCGACCAGACTCTCACACACAGTTACGCGCTATGAAAAGTGTTACACACAACATCGAGCGTCATGATACACACCGCTGCTCTCACTATGCTACGAAAAAAAAACGAAAACAACGTCTCTCCTCCACTTGTTTATTCTCAGTGTCTTCCTAAGCCTCGAAGATAATTCGTCAAGAGAACACAAATGTACGTAAAAGACTTCCGTCGAGTGACCGCATTCGCTGGTTTCAAAGGGCTCACATGCTTAAGGCAATCTCTAGAGAGCCTGTGTACCTAAACCCAGTTTAAAATATGAAACTTCAAAGCAGCTGATAAACACATCTTTTACATCAAAATCCAAATCAGACAGCATCCACCTTTCCTATGAAAGAATTGACTACTTGTTGGGTTGAACAGCCTTTAACTTGGCCATAGTGACGTTGCGCATTTAACACATCGCGCACATACCCATAGCTGAAGCGTTGAAGCACACTCTCGAGCTTGCGCTACTTTGCATGCACCATTGAATGGCCACAATTTTTCTTCATCTTCACTTTTTATCAAATGTATTTTGATTTATTCCTTCGTAGAGTTAAACTCAAAATTTTTAAACCATCACACAATGATGGGAAGAACTATTCAGTGATCTAAAAGTTTATCACTGTTGCTGTTTTTTACACGGGTGCACTCACACACACTCCACACACACACACTCCACACACACACACTCCACACACACACACACACTCCACAACACACACACTCCACACACAACTCCACACCCAAACACACACACACCACTCCAACACACGCACACTTCCCACACACCCACACTCCCCTTTTTATGGTCACACAGCAACACACACACACACACACACACACACACACACACACACACGCACACTCCACACACACACACTACATAGAGAAACTAGCACTGGACTTTGTTTGTAGGAAAGGTCACAAGTGCTGATTTTAGAGAGGAAATCCACACAACGCTTCCACCTATACATCGATAAATCCAACAACATGACTTTTTGGTTTGAGCGTATCCAAAAAAATACGAAGAAGGTTTGCTGTATAATTCTTATTACAAGTAGTTCTTCTATGGATACACTCTGAGCAGCAGAATCTACCCTTGCAATAAGCCACTACTAAAACCGACAATTAATGTAAGAAGTCGTTACAAATCGTGAAAAAAGCTATATGATCAAAAACCTAAGAAATGGCACCCTCTTCTCCGACTGCCCCCTCAAATTCAGGTAAGTTTATCATGGCTTGCCGTTGCGACTAATTGCCTGTGCATTTTCCTATTACAGTTTTTTTTTCAATTACAGTCATCGTTATAATAAGATCTGGTAACTGCGCAAATAAATTATGCAAAGCGAAGGTTGAAATTAAGGAAATCCAAGTGAAGCGATTTAATATGAAAGGGACCTCTAACAGGGAAATCACGCAACACAGCTCATTGGGCACTTTTCTGCGCATTACAACTTGGTTGATAAGGTGCTTTCTGCCACTTAAGCACATAGGCACTGCGCATATCGTCTACTAGAGCCCTCTTCTATCCTCTCTACTACCCACCTCTCCTTCATTATCAATTTTTATCGCGAGCTTTGCATTCAAAGATTATATAAAAAAAATTGCAAAAAATAGCAAACCACTAAGCGAACCTTTTGTAAACTGCTGGGATTTAATGCAGTCTTATCGATGATTTTAATAGCAACTTCTTGACCCGTAATTGTATGTTTGGCTAATTTGACCTGAAACATGTATTTAGTCACAGACAAACAGAAAAAAGACAATGGAGTTACCTTGGCGAAATTCCCTTTACCGATGGTTTTGAGTAATTTATATTTTCCAACGTGGGGATCGTCGGGGGGTCGCCGTCCTCCAGATCGGCTTGACGATCCCATTCCCGCTGATGGACGCAAATGGGAAGCATGTTGAGAAGACCTAGACGGGTATTTTGCAGGTTTCTGGGTTAAGGACTCACATAAACAGATGTGTGCAATTTTTTAGTTTCCTTAGCCAGTAAACTTTAAAAAAATACTTTGAAGATGTTCTCCATACCTTTATACCTGAATTTTTATGATTGTATAATCTTCATCTTTAGGAGCTCACAAATATGATACAGCATAGAAAAGTGAAAACAAAGAAATAAGGAAGAGCCAATAGCTCGCAGGGTCACAATCAACATCTCGATAACTAACCCCTTAGAAACAAGAACAGTTTTCTTGACGCGTGCGAGATTGGCGATCGTCGCCATCAGCGAGAAAACAAAGAAGAAGCGAAGCAACACGCGTGCGAAGGGGTAAAGCCAACAGAATTAATTCGATGATAACGATAGCTCTTGTGTTTTGGCTGATTGCTTAGTTTACAGCTTACACTCAGCTCCACGAACAGCGGTGGACGAGCGTGCACGAAGGAAAACACGAAAATTTAGCTGCTAGTTTGCAATCCGATTCGCCGTCGAGCTCGCCCACCCTTGCATTTGGTGTGAGCAGCATTTGCAATTTTGCACAGATGGTCATGACAAAAACACCATCTTCCAGAGCGATGAAGAAGAGTTACGAAAAATAAGGAACACCATGTTGAAGAGGTTGAATTCCAAACACCTTCAAATGACCTTTATCCGTTGTTGAATAAGCCGAGAATAGGGAGCCACCAGGGCCACATGTTTCCAGCATTACATTGGAAGGCAGCGGTCAAGATAATTTGAGGTTGATGAAACAAAAGCAAAAGTGCTCAAAGGGGCGGCAGTGAGAGCAAACCAGGAGCCAAGTCCAGCTTTGGAAATGACACCTTGGCTCCGCTCGTTGATTTAAGCACTCGTAAGCACCGTTCCTCGTCGGACACAACGGTGCTGCTGCCACTCTTCCACTATCGTCATTAATTTCACAAGTGTTTCAGTTGGCATGATTCAAATAATACCTTACAACTGTTTGGAATCAAAGTTTAAATGTAAAGTGGTTATTTTTTACGTAGTAATCAGTACGACGACATCGGAGGGCAACGCGTTCTGCAAAACAATCCAAGGGAATAGGAAGTAAATAAAAAAGATAAAGGATAAAGCATTAGCCGTATCAATCCTTTTTGGGATGCGGCACGCATTCTACTTCCATTTGTAAATTCGTAGTGGCGTTTGAAAGCGATGTGGCCCATAAAATGACTTGCGGGGGCCAGCCGATGTACAAGTCAGTATTTTTTTGATCCTCCCAGACAAGTCTGGTACCAACTAACCGATCCCGGAGGGATGGAAGGCTTGGTTGGCCAGGGCGACTTACGACCCAGGACTTGATCCCGAACATTTCGCATCTTCTTGGCATCATCAGGTACTACAGCGTGGTCCAAAATTATGAGGACCAAGACATTGTGTCGTTAAAAACGAATAGTAGATTGATTGAACAAACCAACTTTAGGGAAGTATTTGTAACTCTTACCTTGAAGGAGGAATTTACGATTTAAATGAAGGTCGAAGAAAGGGAAACTGATCTAGTTGAGGGACCCACGGACCTCCTGAGGGTG